CGTATGAGAGTGTAGGTATGGATCTAGAGGCATGTCCCTGTGCCTCGTCTCCCATGTAGTCGACCGCAGTTCGCATCCCGGAAAAGATTCTAACTAGTTCCTTCTGGGAGAAGTACTCCCTGAATCCCTAGCCCATCCTATAACGCAGGGTTCCAGGCTGATTTGCCTTTGTGTTTCAGGGTGATATATGTGTTTTCCCATTTCCTCCTGATTTCCCGTCTACCTCTCCCTTCCTTGGCATCCGGAAGAATTTAAGGTATTTTCCCTGTTGGTTAATGTTCAACATTTGGTCCCCTGCCTGATACTGGTTACATTGTCCTCTGACTCTGTCTATAAACTTCCATACTCTCTTGTGTGTGAGGAAAATTAGCATGTATTGGAGGATGTTTGTGCGTATGAGAGTGTAGGTATGGATCTAGAGGCATGTCCCTGTGCCTCTATGTTGGAGTCCTGCCCTGCTCTTATTTATATGTAGCCCTCTCCGCAGGGTTCCGTTGCAGTTTCTGAGAGACTGCTTGTTCTGTTGGTGCATTTATATACACAGAGCTCTGTATTTTAGGAGTGAATGCTACCAGGATAAATGATTGGATTAATGAATATGTCTTAAAACACATTAGGTGAGGGGCGGCAAGTGGCTTGGTGGTTAAGGCACTGGATTCCCACATGGTCAACTGTGGTTTAAGTCCTAGACCTAGCAGCTTGCTTTCTCACTTTCCCTTTCTCTCTGTCTCTCTTTGGTCAAATTTTTAAAATAATAATAATAACAAATAAAAATAAAATAAATAAATAGTTCTTAAAAAAAAAAATTAGGTGAATCCGGCCAGTGGCATGGTGGTTAAGGTGGCTGGATTTCACATGACCAATTGCGTAGTTCATGTCCCAAAACTGGCAACTTGGGAAACATCCCAGATACGTGTGCTTGCATGCCCCAAATCCCCAAAGGCGAAATGGAGTAACTGTAGTGTGATCATCTCCCATTGGGAGTACTTTCTTGCTTTCTTTCTCTCTGGTGAGCATACACACCCTCTAGCATATTTAAACAAAGAGAAACAGATCAGGGTGGTAGAATTTTGGGGAATCAATGATCTGGTCTATGAGCATTGGAAGTGGTTAAGGAAAATATGGAAGGAATGAAACAAATGAGTGTAATGCTGGAATAACTGACTTCCTTGTTTTTATGCAAGCTTCTGTAAGTATACTCCAGGGTTAGACGGGTCAAATGAGAACAGGTTTCTTTTGGTGGTACTGTTTCTAACTCTGTCCCATTTGACCACTGAAACTTCAGATTTTCTCATTATTCTTCCAGTGGACTTTTTTGTTTCAGTTGAGGATTGGGCATCTTTTTTTTTTTTTTTTTTAAAGAGGTTTTTGCTATAGGGCGCATGCACTTACCAGAAAGACAGAGAGAGACAGACAGACAGAAAGCGAGAAATCACCCCCTGGAGGGAAGGCCATGCCACAGTCCCTTTTCCTCCATTCTCCTCTTGGGATCTTGGGCACGCACGCACGCACATGCGGCCGGCATGAGTTTAAACCACCGGGTCTGGGACTCGAACCGTGGCTGACTACACTGGGAGTCCAGCGACATAGCCATTACGCCAATTGCTTGTTCCAAGGATTGGGTATCTTAAGGCATCCCTACACATTCAATGGTTACAGCAAAGGCAGTCGAGATCACCTCCACCTCCTGCCTCCTGGTACTGACTCTAACAATAAGTAGGGCAGACCTGAATTTGGGTGTTTCTTTAGGACTCATGTAAGTTAGACCTGGGACTTTGCCCTAAGCCTCGAAAGACCATTCTTATGAGCTATCAGTTCAAGCTCACTCTAGGGTTGGGGTGACACAGGTACTCTAAGATAGGTTTGCTGGCCAAGTGCTTGAGTTAGTCTGTTATGTCATAGGAGAAGCAGCACAATGTCATCCTGGTGACTGGGCACAATGTCATCTCCAGTACTGTGCACCGGGCTATGCTGACTCAGCGTCTGTCCACCAGAATGGTCGCCCACACATTACTCCCTGGAACAGGAGAACTGCTGCTAAGGCCTTCTGGGGTAAGAGGGCTGGGGAGGAACGCCTCTAGCTACTGAAAGCACACGATGATGCACCTTCCAGGATGGGCTAAGTCAGCAGTCAGCCAAGCTCTTCTGCCCCCAACATTTCAGGGTTCTAGGTAAGTCACCTCCTGTCTACTGTTCCGAATGTACGTGGTGTCTCCAGGCCAAGGTGTTTAGGTGTAAACGAATATGCTGGAGAGCAAGAGGAGGGATTTCTGGCTACATTCATTCATTCCAGGTACATTCAGTCATAGTTCAGACTGAAGAAACCTACCCTGGCTGTGAATCCCTAAAATGCATGACCCCCACATCTCTGATCATCCCATGCCTAGTGTTTGTAAAATGTTTCCTCTTTAGCTCACCATCTTCTACATGTTTTTTGCTTTGTTTTCAACTTTTACATACAAATCACATTCCCAGAAAGCAGAGAATGAAAAAGCTGCTTTCCTCATATACATGCTGCTAAGAAAATGGTTTTATACACAAAATTTTAACGAGAGACAGAAAAGGACAGGAGGGAGGGGTGCAGGAGAGCTGCTAAGAGGGAGGAAAATAAAGGTGGCCTCGAGTGCAGGAACACCATGGGTCCATTCTCTTCCAGGGCCCACATCTGTAGCTGGCACTTCGGGTATCTTTGGAATAACTATCAATAGTTCTACCCACTCCCAATTTGCTGGAGTCAGAGCTTTTAATTTCTTTCTTTTGCTATAGAGCGTGTGTGCTCGCCCAAAAGACAGAGAGACAGAAAGCGAGAAATCATCTCCCAGGGGGATGGCCATGCTGCTGTCCCTTCTCTCTCATTCTTCTCTTGGGATCTTGGGCACGCATGCACGTATTCCTGGTGTGAGTTGCCAGGTCCAAGGACTCAAACTGGGGTCGACTACATGGGATGCAACCATTATGCCATCTGCTGGTCCCGAGTTTTTAATTTTTCAGGTAAATGGGACAGAAAGTGAGATTCACAGCATATATGGGGCCTAGGGATTGGGTTGAATTTTCTCTCCTCCTCTGTCCCCTCGTGTCTCTCTCTCTCTCTTTTAAAAAAATATTATTTTATTTAACTTTATTTATTTACTTAAATTTGACCAGAGAGAGACAGAGCGAGAGTGAGAAGGAAAGAGAGAAAACAAGCTGCCAGGTCCGGGACTCAGACCATGGTCAGCCATGTGAGACTTCTGTGCCCTTAACCACCATGCCACCTGCCAGCCATTCCCTCACATCTCTTGTGCACATAAGCCACCGACCACTTCAGTGTTAACATGTTCACAGAGCCAAGTAACTGGTAGACCAGAAGACCCAAATCCCAGGGCTTGCTGAATCTATTTGTCTTAAATGGATAATGGTGGTAGAAGAAGCCTATGGGAGAAGATGGAAGGAGAATGCCTTGAGAGGGGAAAAGTCTTAGGATAAACTAGCTGGGCGAGGGGGGTGGGAAATTTTACAAACCTTCCTAAGAGAAAACACTGTTTTATGGCACTTTTGCTGGACTTTGGGGTTCCCAGTACGACCTCCTGAGGGTTACAGAAACAGCTGGGTTAGGGTTGGTGACCTTCTAGGACATTCTTCTGTTAGTTCCCTTGGTGATACCACCCTATCAGAGTCCTCTTGTGCTTCAGTCATCCTGCCCACCTATCCCAACTTGCGTTAGCTCTAGACCCCCGTGAACCTCATGGCAGGTCCTGGCTTTCGGGGTTACTCCAACAGCTGCTGCTTAATGGAAGGCTGGGCAAGGAGCAAGAGCAAGGGCAGTGGATGTGGGGAGGGGAAGAAAAGCAGATGGGGAACAAGGGACCCAGCCAGGTAAAGGAAGCTCAAGAGGCAGCCAGAATGTGATGCGGCACAGGGAACTGGGAGCAGGGCTTGTGAAAGAATAAATGCAGGTGGTAGGCAGAGACCGCACACCTTGGGTTCAGAAAGCAAACTGCCCCATCCTCCTCTTCCTCCCCAGGACCACGGCAGAGAGTGACACTGGCCTTCCTGACTCACAGCTGGGAATGAGAGGATATTACCTGTCCTGGCCAATACTTAGTTCTGGGGACAGGGCGCGTCTCTCCCAGTCCAGACTCCTCTCCCCATTACCGCTCTCACCTCAGAGTTTGGGGGTGGCCAGGGGAATCTGCTGCTTTCAGTCCTGCCTGGATCAGCAGACCCATGGCAAGGTGATAAAGCCATTTTGATCTTCCAAAGATGAAGTGGTTTAAAGAAACCCTTAAAATGGAGGTGAGGGAAGGAGGAGAGACACAAACAGGAAAAAACCACTGGTTTGATGGGAGAGTTTTCTTTTCTTTTTTTTTTTTTTTTTTTCTGTATTTTCCAAGTTTATGTTTTTCTTTAGTTCGTTCTTCTGGTCTCTCCATCTCTCTTGTGCACATGTGCACGTGCGTGCTCTCTCTCGCTTTTTTTTTTTTTTTTTTTTTTGGTTGTGTGTGTGTTTCAGTTTTTTAAAAGAACTTTGGATTTGCCGTTGGTGGGCAGCGCCGGTCCTGGAGGCTGGACGCCCACATGGCAGGGCTAGGACAAGGGGCAGGCCCACGGCTGCTGAGAGGATCTCTGTGTTTAAAGCCTTTGAGAATAAGTTACTGCAGTTCCCAGGGTGCAGGGTGGGGGGATTGGCAGAGGGCTTCCTGGTGGCGGCATCCCCTAGAGTCCAGCCCGCAGGGGCTCCCCTGTCGGGAGAAGAGGGTTAAGAGGGAGGGGTATGGGGAGAGTGGGTTGGGAGCACATCTCCCCCTGCCAGCCTCCAGTTTGGTTAGAGTTTTGTGGGCTCCCTGCCCATCCCAGGCTCCAACCTTGGGAGCCAACTGGGTGGTTGGAAAGTCTGTGAGCGATATGGCGCTCTAGACAAGGGGGAGGAAGGAGACGGGAGAGTGGCAAAGTTTTCTTTCCCCCTTCTTTGTCTTGGGCTTTCTTTTTCTTCTTTTTTTCTCTCTCTTTTCTTTCTTTACTTTTTTTTTTTTTTTTTGGTGTTTTCTCAGTCAGTGGAACAGCATGAGATAACTGTGATTTGTGTGCACATGTGTGTGTGCATGTGTGCGTGTGTGTGTGTGTGACAGGAGTGGGAGGCTGGGGAAGTCAGTGGAGAAGATGGAACCAAGGATATGTTTTCCGTGTGCGGGCAGACGTGTGTGTATACTCGGGATGCCAAGGTGGGTGCGAGTGTGTGTGAGAAGACGCAGAAGCAAGGGCTGTATCTGCAAGGAATTGACCATAAAGATCAGAGTGTGGGCGGGGGAGGAGGCAGGACTCTGCTGGAGGTGGGGTGTGTGAAGCCCACTGAGGGTGGGAATTGAAGGATTCCCATGAGGTGGGCGGAGCCGAGGGTTGGGGTGAGGGATTTGAGCCCCCACCAAACACCCCTTGGGGTAAAAGAGGGCGCCCTGAGGCTTCCCTCTCTCCCCATCTTGGTTTATCTGTTTATAAAGCTAGAAGTGTAGAGGTAGTAGTAGTTTTTGGGTTGGAGTCCGTGTGAGGTAATCTTGCTTCCTCTTTGGCAAAAGCCACAGCAGCCGTGGCAGCCGTGGTGGCGTTGGTGACGGTGATGGGTGGGCCCCCTGGAGGCGGGGCCGCCTTGCGCCTGTGGGCCGAGGAGCGCAGGTGAGAGGCCAGGGCTTCGCGCCCACTCAGCAGCACCTCACATGCCAGGCAGTGGTAGGTGCAGATGGGTACCCGCAGTGGAGGAGGCATGGAGCCCCCAGAGCCCCGCCCAAAGAAGCAGAAGGATCTCTGATGGGCAGTAGCTGGGGCCTCCCCATCAAATGCCATCTTGCATTGGCGGCACAGGTAGCGGTGGGTCACATCCACGGTGGAGATGCCAGTGCTGCCTGTTAGCAGCTCATCCACCTCACCAGCCTCCCCTTCTCCTGCAGCGGGTAGTTCAGGAGGCTTTGGAGGTGTTGTGGCTGTGGGCTCAGGGGGCTGGGGTGGCGGCTGGAGGAGGGCATTGGGAAGCAGCCCAATGAGGGTCTGAGGTATCACGGGGTTCATGGGAAATAGCCCCTTCTTCATGCCATAGAGCTGTTGGAAGTAGGCCCCCTGTATCTGGGGCCCAAAGACAGCTGGCGGTGCTGCCCCCCCAGTGGGGGGTAGTGGGAAGGGCAGGAATTGGCCCCCCAACAGGGCTGGGACAGTGGCCTTCAACGCTTTGAGGTTCTTGAGGGCATCAGTGGAGGAGTTGGTGGGGGCTACAACTGGCTTTCGCTCACCAGAGACCTTGTCCCCTGAGGGCTCAGTAGGTGGGCCTGGGACAGGGTCAGTGGCGCCTGCCATGGAGGCGTTGGTTTGGTCGAGCACAGGTCTCTGAGGTAAAGGGCGGCCTGGGCCAGCAGTCTGGACCACTGTGGTAGCAGGCAGGACCGAAGTGGCGAGGCCAAGGAGGCCTGAGGAGGCTGCAGGGCCTAGGAAGATGAAAGAAGTGATGAAATATCAGCTACCTCTGGTCCCCATCATCCTTCCTGCCACAGGTCACCTCCAGCCACACACACCCATTCCTACCACCCAGCTGCCATGCCTCTTCGCCCCCCTTCTTTCCCCCCAGAATCTGAAGCAAGGAAAGGCTCTGGAAGATGGGATGTGGGAAGAGTCAAGGAATGGGAAGGGCACGTCATTGGCGGGACATGTTCTCTGAGGCCCAGCTCCTCCCACACTACCCACTCACCTGAACTGAAAGGAGCTAAGCTGCCCAGCGGGGGCTGGGTCAGAGGTGGGCCAGACAGGAGGACCGGAGCCAAGCGAGGCAGGGCTGGGGCAGCCCCGAGGGGCACAGAGGCAGGGGTGGTGGTGGGCGGGGCCTTGGGAGCTGGGGGTGCCTCGGGCGCCGGGGCCAAGTCGTAGCACTTGCTTTCACTCTTCAGCTGGGCTCGGACTGCCTCCTTGAGCTTGGCCAGGTGCTGGCGGGAAAAGAGATGGCCTCGGCAGGAGACATAGAAATCATACTTGACATCGCAGTAGGGGCAGTCAGTGCGCTGCGCGGCCAAGGGGCCCTCACCGCTTCCCCCAGACCCCCCAGCGGCTGCTCCCTGCAGCTTGGCCTTCTTCTCCTTAGCGCGAGCATTCTGGAACCAGACCTGGATGACTCTCTTGGGCAGCCCAATCTCCTCCCCCAGCACCTCGCACTCCTGCATGGTGGGGGTGCGGTAGGCTTCATAGCAGGCTTTCATGATCTTCAGCTGCAGGCTGCTCATCTGAGTCCTGTAGCGCCGCTGCCCCACTCCATCTGGAACCCCAGTCCCACCCCCTGGTCCCCCACTGGTGCCTCCAGCCCCAGGGGACTCTGGTTCAGCCAGGCTGGAAGCAGAGGAATCACTTAGATCTCCTGCAGATGGACTGCAAGCCTCACTCTCTGGAGAAGCTTTAGAAGGTTCCTCTGGGCCCTCATCCTCACTAGGTGGAGGGGGAGGTGGGAGAGGAAGAGGTGGCTCTGGGGTTGCAGTGGTGGCTTCTTTCCCAGGTGGTAAGAAAGGCAGCGGCCCGGCACCCGGGGTGACCGTGGGGTAGGCAAAGGCCGGGGCTTCCCTTTTGGGAGCTTCCCTCCCAGCCCCATCATCTACCTTGCCTAGCAGGAGGTTGAACTTGGGGAATGGTGCAGGGGTAGGTGTGACAGGGGGTTTGACTGCTGGACTGGGGATACCCCCAGGGGTGCTCCGAAACTGCCCTTTCCTCTCCCGGGCCCTGGTGTTCTGAAACCAGACCTGTACCACTCGCTTTTTGAGCCCCACCTCCTCGGAGATGCAGTCAAGCATCTTGCGCGTTGGGTTGGAATCCTGCATGTACCAACGGTACAGGATCTCCAGCTGCTCGGGCAGGATGGTGGTGCGCAGGCGCTTGTCCCTGGGGGGCTCACCCTCCCCACCACCCCCCGTTTCACTTCCTGTGGGGGACAGGCTGCCATCCTCATGCTTCCGTTTGAGGGGTGGCCCTGGCACAGGTGGGGTTCCAGCCACCAAGGGGTTTCGCTCCCCAAACACCAGCAAGGGCAGGTCTAGGAGCTGTGGAGGAGCGCTGGGCGGCACAGCGGGCAGGAAGTGCAGTCGGCGGTGACTGGCCAGGAGGTCCTGGCTGGGGAAAGAGATGGTGCACTGGTCACACGTGTGGGCCGGGGAGGGCGAGGGAGAGGCCTTCCCTTCAGGCTCTTTGCTTCCTGACTTTGTTGTCTCTGCTTGGCTCAGTTCCTCCCCATCTGCAGGTTCTGGTGATGGCCCCTCAGGCCCTGCTGGGGTCTCAAGGCCCGGTTCCTCCTCTATTTCTTCCTCCTCTACATCTTCCTCCTCCTCTCTCTCCGCTTCTTCCTCCTCCTCTTCAGGGGCTTGGTCATCATAGCACTTCTTGAGGTGCCGCACCAGCTCGAAAACACAGGGGAAGGTGGCGTGGCAGCGCCTGCAGCCAGAGGCCCCCCCGGTGCCACCTCCGGCTGGCACAGGCCCCCCTTCACAGGCGTTTTTGCGTGCTTTCTGGCGGGCATTCTGGAACCACACGACCACCACACGACTAGCCAGACCCAAGAGACTTGCAAGCCGCTCCACCTCTCCATCCTTGGGGTAGGCACTGGTCTCAAAGAAGGACTGCAGGGCTTGGGTCTGGAACTCTGTGAACTTGGTTCTGGAGAACCGGCGGCCTGCAGGTACTAGGGAGGGAAGAGTCCCTCTGGAGCTTTCTTCCTCCTCCGGGGGCCAGCGTCCTCCCGCCCTGCTCCTCTCTTCAGGGACACGGCTCCCCACTGCATCAGGCTCTGGGACCAGGAAAGGTGGGCCCAACTGGGGGGCAGGTGACTCCAGAGGCCCATCAGGAGGTTTGGGGGGCTCCACGGGGGGCGGGTAGAGGCTGTCATAGCTCTTTCGGAACTGAGCAGCATAACGGCTCAGCGCCTCGAAGGGCAGAAAGCGGCGGTGCACGTGCTCCTCGTGGGTCTTGAGGATGAGCATGTTGGAGAAGAGTTTCCCACAGGCCCTGCAGGCCAGCTTGTCCCCACCCCCCAGGGCCTCGGGTGGGGGTGGGGTCGGGGGAGGGGGC